CACACTTCTCTTGCAGAAGCTCAAATACAAAGTGGTCCAAACCCAAGATTCCCACAAACATCTCCAGGCAAACTGAGTAACGGCTTATCCAGCAGGCATTGCCTTGGAATAACCTGCATCTCAACTGATCATTTAAATTAAGGAAAGGAGAAAAATATTATGGAATTTTTGGCCTTCTGATATCTGCAGTTCTTCAGACTGGAGACAAACATGTTGGTAGTGATGAGTGACTTGGGACTGAACCGGCTGCCAGGGCAGGAATCGTTGCTGTAAAGTTGGGGCACACTGAAATTTTCCACATCCCTTTGTTTGAAATATCAATATGAAGATTTAAGATGTGTAACTTCCCTATAGGGCAGTTTCTTGGCTGTGTGTGGATTGTGGTGATCGTGGGAAGGAACAGCATTCCCAGTTCTTCTTTTGGAAATTCAGTACATCACAGAGATGTACCTGAATCCAGCAGCAGCATTCAGGTGGCAAATACATCTTCTTACAGACTTTCTTCCTCATTAAATGAAAAAGATTGGGGTTTTCCCCTGAGCTGCCAACCATATCTGGGAATTACTGCTTTCCAGAACTTAATCTCTCAAAGCAAGACACCTCCAGACCCCGGCACAGTGATTATTGCACATTCATATGTACAGCAAGGGGAAGAGCACAGGTCTGAAGCAAATCAGCTTCCTCTCGTCGCATCACGTGCTAGAATATCCCTAATCAGAAGTATGGCAAATCCCCTGCCTTTCCAGACTTCAGCAGAATTCCCTAAGATCTGCTGGGGAGTCCTGCTTCAAAGGCCGGTTAAGCCTGGCTTATGCTGCAGCATGGCTTGTACAAGCATGGCTTTGTACAACCCTGCTGCTGCAGCTGAAGGCACCATGTGTAATCTCTGCTTCCTCTCATCCCACCAGGCTGGGAAAAGCAGGTTTGCCACTTTTTTCTACTTCAGCATTTGTGTCTAGCAAATACAGTGTTTCTTCTCCTCACAGCATCACATGTGCAAATGTATTTGGGAGAATGCAGCCACTGCCACATTGCAAATGTTTTAATCAATAACTGTCAGATTCCTCTTGATGATTTTGCTTTTGAGCAGCAACTTGGCAATCAATGGTTAGAACTGCTTCTAAGTCCTTAGTAGGTGGATAAAGCAGATTTTTTATTAAAACCTCTGAAGGTTTAATATTACTGTTAGGTGTTTTATATTGTAAATCATCAGCTTTGTCATTGAAGGGGAACTCCTGTACTTAAGGGAAGGAATTTTACAAGTATGAAAAACTTGCAGTCTGTACAATTATAGTGCCATTGTTCTTGGTCTCAAGTATGTGTCTGTGCATATTCCCATCATACTGCTCGTTCAGGACAGAGATTTCTTTTATCCAAACCATTCTCTGTGTCTCAGGGCAGGAGGACTACGATCGGCTGCGACCTCTTTCTTACCAGAACACAAATGTCGTGTTAATTTGTTACGATGTCATGAACCCCACTAGCTATGACAATGTAGCAGCCAAGGTAAGAGCCTCTCCTAATTGCTTCAGCCTTCTAAATGAATTACAGACGCCTGATATATGACAAGATGTCAGATTAAAAATGCTGATGCTTTTAGTGTCCTGTACCCTGGGTGTGTAGATGCACAGATCACTCATGGTGTGCTGGGCTGCAGGTCACAGACCTTAGACCTGGAGCTCAGCTCTCCACGGCTCAAAAGTGCTCAGAACTGGGGTTGACACACACTAAAAATATCAAAGAGCAGTGGTGAAATCACTGCTTTATCTGTAGTGATGTCAAACGACCAACAGTGCACATGAGCATTTTAGAGTCAAGTCTACTTCTGTCACATGCATATTTAACACAGGAGAGAGATGAGAGCAACCAATTTCCCTACTGGGATTTCTGTAATGCTTCAAAGCAAAAGTTAATGCTCTTGTACACAGTACCAGCAAAACAAAGCAAGACTTGGTCCAAATTCTGTTTTAAATATGACTTTAGAGGATCTCATCTGAATTTAAACAGATGTTAAATAAGCGTTTTGGCCTAGTGACAGATGCCACTGTGTTTTTATACAGCAGCTGACTTTGGGTAGGACTTGTAAACATTTCTGTAATGTAAACAGAGCACGTTGGGCCCCCACCACTGGATAAACCCCTCCAAAACTCTGAAATTGCAGCTTATGTTAAATGCCGGTTCTGCTCTTCGGCTTTATTGTTTTGATTTGAGGAAACAAAACCAAAGCCAGATGTAAAAGCTTTGTTTCTCTACCACCAGTGGTACCCTGAAGTGAATCACTTCTGCCGAGGGGTCCCGCTCGTGCTCATCGGCTGCAAGACGGACCTTCGCAAGGACAAGGAGCAGCTGCGCAAGCTCAGGGCTTCCAAGCAGGAACCCATCACCTACAACCAGGTAAACGCAGGGGTATTTAAAGGGGTGGCCCCTTAGCAGGAGATAAAGCACACAGTAGCACTGCTCCTCACGAGGACGATCCCAGACACTCCAAAATTAGGTGATGGCAGTGTCCAGCTAAAGAAATGACTGGCAGCCAGCACTAACAGGGGTTTCTCTAAGTCCTTCTTGGAAGTGGCCAAATCACCATTTTGACTGCCAAAGTAAAGAGAAATAAGAGCATTTTGCATGTCGTGGGGTGTCTGAAAGGACACTACTATCTACATGTTTTATTCTCATTACATGTCGTTCTTATTTCCTTTCACAGCTGGGTTATTACTGTTACAAATTTGTAAGCCTTAACAAGTTTGCTGGACTCCCTTCATAATTTTTATTAGCCTACATTGCAGCCATCACTGGTGCTTTGATCAGGCTTGGGATAAAGACTGGAGATGGTAGAACACACATTACAAGATTAAATATACTGACTGTTCTGGAAAAAATGTGGTTTGCAAACCCTATTTAAAAATAAATCCTTTCAAGGAAAATAGCAAGAACATCTGCAAGGCTTCTCTAACATGAGAGGCTTTTTTGAAGTCTCTAAAGCAATACTAAAACCCCGGAATATTATCAAATGTTTTTAAGTATTTTGAAGCAGTGAGACTAATAACTAATGTTACATCTCCAGTATAGCTCTCCTAGGTACAGGAGAAAGTGATGGAACAGCTTGTCCCATGTCACACAAGACCTTTCTGCTCTGGTCTTCCACTTTTTCTTTTATTTTTTTTATTTTTTAAAACTACAAAGCCATCCTTCTCCTTTCACCTCAGAGCAGCAGCTTTTGGACTGTTTGAGACACACGTCCAGGGAACAAGGTCAAGAGCACTCCGACCTTGAATGAATCACCACTTTTGCTAAACAGCATGAAAATAAACTGCTACTGCATCACCACAAAACCATGCTGGGCCTTTTAGTTTTGTCTCCCTCGCACACAAGATGAGATCCCACCCTGTCACTGTGAACAGCTGCACATTGTCCCTCATTTGCACGAATAACTCCCTCCACCACCCTCCCACGTGAGGCTCAGGGCGAACAACAGACACTTCTGGCGAGTCTGCTGAGGCTTCATGCAGTTAAATTCAAGGGCCCACCTGATGTACAGACTTTGTCTACGCTGTGAGCCCTCCCACTTGGTTTTTCTCCCCTGAAATGTGCACTACCTCAGTCTTTTACAGCTGGTGGCATCTTGAGTCACACGACATGATGCTTCCAATGCCAGGCACAGAGGAGCTGAACAGTCTCTGCCAGCACTGCAGCTTGCAAACAACTGGAAGGAGACAAACTGCTTAAATATGAAGAAAATTCCCCCTATAGAAGCCCAAGTGCTCAAGTGACTCCACTCCCAGGGCTTATAATGAATAAATGCACTTTGTGAGTCGTGGGTTGCAGACCTGGAATTCACAGTGAAAGGCTTACAAGCATTCAAACCTGGGAGCTGGCCCTGCACTGACAATAAAAGGATCACAAGCAAAGTAAGAAATCGCTGTGTTTTGTCTGTAGTGATTTCACACAGCCAGGATTGCATGGAAATGTTTTAGATTCAAGTCTGTTCCCATTGCATGCATTTGGGTGAGGCTGGGAAACACAGGCTCCCATTTGTGTATATGAGGGTTTTGGCTGAGCCCTTGTGATGCTTCAGAGCAAAAGTCAAGGTTCCTGCATGTGCACCAGCAAAAACAAGGCAAGGCACCAGTCCAGACTCTGTTCTTGCATGTGACATTCATTACTCAAGGTGACATCACAGAGTAGTTAAGGTCAGGCCTGAAAAAAATATCACCATGTAGACATCTTATCCTCACTTAAGTATCCACCTCAGCAATTAGTTTAAAGAAATTCAATACTGAGAATATTTTTGTGCTATCAGGACTCTGCATCTTAAGAGTCTCTAGTGCTCTGAACTCTTAGGCCAGGCTCTGGATCAGCATAGTGGAAAAAACCCAAGTTTATTTACAGTGCTTCAGTATATTACTAATACCACTCACTCTGGCACTGCACTCAGAGGCAGCTGCTTTCTTCCTGACCCTGTGATACAAAGACGTGCAAAATAATTCCCATTTCTCCCCATTTCACTTTCCTTCTCTCATCCACCATATTCACATCTTTTCTCACCTTTTTTTGTTCTTTCCAGGGAGAGGCAGCTTGTCAGGAGATTCACGCAGAGATTTATCTGGAATGCTCAGCAAAATGCCGGGAAAACATAGAAAATGTTTTTAAAGAAGCAACAACCATTGCACTGAATGCCATGAAAAAAGCCAAGCGCCACAGGAAAAGGAAAGTGTGCTCAGTGTTATGATCTGGACTGCACAAGAGCCAAGTGATTCAGATTTTATAAATAGTTTAACCTTAAAGACCTTTTTTTTTTCATTACATGTTTGTATTCCTAGAACAATTTTTATTTTAAAATGTTAATTATTTTTAGTATTTTTGCACTTTTGTTACGTTGTTCTCAAAGTTTTCAAAGCTCTTTGTGACAGTTAACTGATGTTGTGTGCCTTTGCCCATCTGGCTTTTGCTTCTAACTGCAAACAACTCACTGTTTAAATTGCAATGAACAGCAACCACTACTGTATGACTTAGTGGCTTTTTTATTCCTCTGCAAAATAATTGTGGCATGTTATAGCTACAATTTGCTGTCTTTTTCAAGCAGAAAAGCTGAAACCCCACATATTTTAGAAGTAGTGATATTTAAAGCAGTTTATCAGGCACCTTTGAAGAGACAGAAATGAAGTTTTGTCTTAACTATAACTGTACATTGTACAGATTTTGTGCAACTTTATCCTCTGCTTGTTACATGAGCAGCTGGTGACATATTCTCTTTTGGAGCAAGCCATCATTTTTGTTTTACATGCAGAGTAAAGAGATCTTGATCCTTGAAAAATCTTTTGTTTGTTCTTCTCTTAACTGGCTTTGATTTAATTAAGGCTTGTGAATCCCTACGAGCTTAAAATGGAAAATTAAAAGAAATAATGCACGTTTGACTTTAGAAAAATCTTGAATTGTGCAGCCTTTTCTCCACAAGAAGACATTTGTCAGTAAAAGAAACACAGCCACCCATCACCTTCCCCAGTACAAAACTGAAACACCAACGCACAGGAAGTGACCACATTTACCATCAGCTCCAGTGGAAATCTCTGAGTTTTTGATCTGAGTTTCTCATGCTGCAGAACTCACGTTACTCACCCCTGCAGAACCAGCTCCACTGCTCAGATACAGCAGGTTCCAGCATCACTCTCAAAATAAAGCAATTTACATTTCATGAACTGAGAGTTCAAAGGATTTAAAAACCTCACAGGGCGTGCAAAATTCAACATAACAAGATGCAGCCCAGCTGGTGTGAAAGTTGTTGAAAATATTCAAATTGCAATTCACTGCTCATGCCCACAGGACAGTGACACGGCAAAGGCAATTCTGCTTGTTTGCAGCAACAGCACTGATGGAACCACTTCCATCTGTGCTGTGTCCCTGTCTCCTCATGAACACATTTAGGGGGAGGAGGGCACCGTGTTCAGACACTGCCCCAGGATGTGCCCAGTTTGGGCTTTGTGCTGGCTCAGAGGGAACCTTCCCCACCGAGAAAGACACAGCCTAAGGCAGCTCAGTGCTGCAGCTGGCTTAGGATGCACAGACGTTACAGCACCCAAAACAAAGGTGTTTTAACGAGCAAGTTTAGGTTCAAGCAGCACAAGGAGTTTAGCAGGATGGCAGGCACTGTTTGTCCCCTGCCATCCTCCTGAACCAGAGTTTACAAGTGCAGCATCTGAAGAGAGCATTTAATATTTCTGTCCTCCCCTTTCCAGAATGCTGTTTCAAAAACCAACCCAAGGGCAGTGTGTGTCTTACTAAAAAGGGGCTGAAGCAGCTGCATATTGAATGGTTTATTTTAGGTCCTTTCGGGCCTGGACAGATGACTCGGTCTCCCTGGAAAAGGGATAGCAGACTTCCCTGCCATTTAAAAACCGCTTTTGCTTGTTTGATTTTGTTTTCTGAAGAGGATTTCTCTTCTTTAAACAGCTTTTTAAAAGTGTATATAGCAGCAGTATGGTACAAAGATGAGCACTTTCTTTTCACAGTACACACAGGTTTAGTATTGCCACTGAAAATATGCCTTAAACAAATGCCTTGAAAAACAGCATTCGCTCTGTATTCCTGATCCACCCAAAGTGTTCATAACCCTTTGCAAATTCAATTACCAGAATTTAAATAATAAAACTGGAAAGTGTTAAATATCATTCCAGAATTGGAATTACAGTAGATCCCACATTATTCCAACGCTGGCGCTTTGCCAGGCAGGTGCATGCTGCTCTATATACAGAAGAAAAAAAAAAACCCAGAAGCAAACATGTTTTATATTAAATATACATAAATAGCAGGACTGCAGACTGGAGAGCCATGCTTGAGATAATACTGAGTCTGTGCTGGCAGAGTCCTTTGCCAAACACGGGGACAGATGAGTCCTCCCGAGCCCATCTGTCCGAGCTGGGCTTTAGCAGGATCTGTCCCAAACCCAGTCCTGCTGCAGGCAGAGGGATGCACACTATGAATGGGTGGGGTTCACAGCTTCTTCACTTTGTCTTTGTTTTTCTGGAGTTTAGTGTGCACCACCTTGAGAGTAGTGAGGAAGTTCCCGAGGAAGAGCAGCAGGAACGTGAAAGCCAACACAAAAACCTGAGAGGGGAGAAGAAGCTGCATTTACTACTTTTTACTATTACAAAATGGATTATATTCAACACTGCTGGACTCTACTGGACATAGAACAGGCCCTGTGCTGCATTATGCTGAAATATTTAACTGGGGTCAGATGCCCAAATATCTTTCAGGATGTGGTTAAACACCCCCTCTCCCCCTGCTCCGTGCTTTTTCCGAGCAGAGCCAACACGCACCTGCCATTCTTTGCACTCCTTGTGCCTTGACAATCCAAAAAGCGTGATTGCATTATATAGCTGCCAGAACTGCAAAGGGATAAAAAAAAAAGGCATTTTCATTACTAGCAAAAAAAAAATGAAACCCTGGAAACATTCTTCATGGGTTTGTGTGATCCAAAGCACCTTCGTGTGGTGCTGCGACACTGCACCCGGGGGAGAACGGGACTGCCCAACTTACATGCCCGAAGAACAAGAAGGGAAGGAGAAACGTCAGCCCCCGCCACATCCAGGACTGAAATCCTTCTGGAAAAGGTTGACAGACGAGGCAGAGTGTGAGCACAGAAGAGCCAGGACTGGAGCTGCAGCTCTTCCCCACCCAGACCACCCCATAAGGGCTGTTCCTGTTCTGCTCTGCAATAACCAACCAATTTGAAGGTGTGATAATAGAAGGAGGGTGAAGATGGGGATGACCAAAACCTCCATCTTGACCCCCTCAAAAGCTGACAGAGACCAGATCCCTCTCCTCCTGACCCACAGGACCTAAGGAGAAGGATAAAAACCTTGCTCCCCTTCCTGCCTTGGGACACAGGCAGCAAGGCAGGGGGGCAGCTCTGCAAAGCTCACTCTCGAAGGCCACACAGCCCTCTCCCTCCCTATCACTGCATCCAAAACCTGTGCCAAAACTGTGCAAAGAAAGTATTGCAGAAAACCTCACCTACTGTAAGGTCCAAGTGGTTTCTCTCCCCCAAAGCCCGGAGCCTATAGAGGCAGCCCCTTTGGTAATAATACTGTAGGAACTGAACACAGCCTGGAGAAGGAAAGAGAAGACATCACTGCTTTGGCTATTCTGAAGTATGATAAGTATCAAATTACTTTAATAATATTTAATCCAAGAGCATTTAATTATTGCTTATATTTGTAGACTGCATATTTGTACACTATCTTCATATTCCTACAGTTTAATACTCCAGAATTTACCAAACAGAAGTGTTTTCTTCTAAGCATGTAAGATACAAAATTATTTTATCCTGTGAATTAGCAAGGTAAGAAATACTCACTCTGAAATATTGAAAATGCTAAAAATTGACTGCGAAACATCTGATACATGAGTCCATCCGGCCTGGAAGCAAAACACAGGGGAGGTCCATTAGTTTGCCAAAAGCAGGTGACACGGCGCCCTTCCCCTTCACCACCAAGCCTCATCCCATTAGCAAACGAACCAGCAGCTGGTACCCAGCCCATTCCACCCCACTGGGAGCCCAGAGAGGTGCTACAGCCACACAGGAAACACTCTCATTGATTAGGTTTCCCCTCTCCAACATCTTTGGCATTATCACAGTTTTCTTTAGGCAGCAAAGCCATTCAGCATCATCTGCATCAAGAATCCGAGCGGTGGAGAAGGGGGGGTTGTGCTCATTATCCTGAGGGCAGCTCAGGATAGACGGAGGACAAGGGATCTTCTGCTCCAGCAACTATATCATCCCCTTACAATTTCTAATAATTAAACCAATTTTAAATAATTAACTGATCAGTTCATGCCCAAGATGAGATGGGTTGAATGGGGGCCGTCCATGGGGTGCATCGCTGGGTTGTCTGACACCACCACCCACTGCAAGGTAACCTGTATTTTTGGCTTTAGGCTCTGTAATCAGGGTTTAATAAAGGCACCAAACCTTCATTTTGTGGTGTCCTTCCTCGACAGCAGCAAAGTCCTGCTCGTTTCCTTACTTAGAGAGACAGAAATTTGGAGCCTTGCAGAGGCTTTGCTACCACCACCCCAACTACATTGTAAGGTTTGTGTTTCTTTCTTTCTTTTTTTAAACCAGCAATGTAAATACAAACTTGCAGTGTTGTATTTATCGCTGGAAACATCTGTAACATCAAACGAATATTAAGTCTGTCGCTCTGCCATGAGCCCATGTGGCCACAGCTTCCCTGTCACGCTGAATTTGAACGCTCAGATGACATAAACACCGTGAAACAGGCTTGAAGCACCTCGAGCAGGCGAGAGCAGACTCACCACGTCAACATCACTCCAGACAGGAACGTGGAAACGTAGTGATGGGACACCCACCAGCCTTTGATCCTGAGGAAAAAAAACAAACGTGGTAGTTAAGACAAGAAACATGGATTTCAGCACTGAAGCCCAGCTTTATGGACAAAAATGATCCTGACTTGGGAAGGAGGGACAGGGAACAGAACAGTCAGCCCAACTCAAGCACAAGGGATGCTGCAGAACACTGTCCTGGCAGTGTGTCTTAGCTGGGAGCACAAATCCATGGCATTGGAGGGAGGCTCAGGACCAGGGCACGTCTCCCGTGCTCCCATGGGCTCTCCAGCACATCCAGCAGCAGCAGTCCCTGCAGCAGGAGGCACCTCCATGGCTAATGACACACAAGTGTCAGCCCACACACCCTTTTTTTCCCTGCCATGGAAGTAAGTGACATTTCCAAGGCCTTCCTATGAGGTGGCTGGTTCTTTCAGACACGAGCACTAAAGGGAGCTCAGAAAACGACAGTAAAGTGATCAAGGGCTGTAGTGGAGCAGAATCAAGAAGGGAAGAGCTGCTCCAGAGCCAGAGCTGCTTTGGAAACTAAGCCAACATGGGTTGATTTTGGGCATTTGGCCATGGATTGATTTGGGGCGTTTCTGACCAAAAGTGTGTGACCTCTGACACAAGGCAGCACACTTACACCCCAGGCCACACCTACAAACCCCACAGCTACCATAAACATCCAACACTTTGGACCAAGAACTTAGGGACTTCTAGGAACTGCAACTTCTCTCTCCCCAAATTTCAGGTGGCCACATCTGCCCTTGGAAGCAACCAGGGAGGGGGATGGAGACAAGACCCTGCAGAGAGGCATCAGCATCTCATATTTGCTGGGCTTCAGTGCCAAGCTGAATCCCCACTTGTCTCTTATTTTCTTTTAAGGACATTTCATGCTCTACATGGTTTTTGCAGGTGGCACTGTACCTTGATCCATTGCTAATGAGAATGCTTTCCCGTATCGTCAGCGTGCAGTAATACCACACTAACAGAAAGTTAAACACTTCATCTGTCACCCTGTTAAACAGAAAAAAACACAGAGTAAAAAAAAAATCCTGTTCTTTATAAAGATACATTTAAAAAAGCCCTATTTTTCCTTCCTCCCCTTGGGTGAATGAAAACCTGCCAAGTGAGGCCACAGACACAAAGCCCCAGTCCTGAACGTCTCTAACCCTCAGGCAGAACTGCACACAGACAGCACTTGAAGGGTTCAGGGCCATTTCCCCTCCGGGAAGTGCCCTGTGATATAACACTGCAGATCCTGAGCTGATAAGCAGGTATGCAGGGATGACATTAAGTCCTTCTGAAGGAGAGAAAGCACCATAGAAGCAGAGGATGATCCAATTTGGAAAGGCATTTCCAGGCTAATTCAGTGAGGAGATTTCCATGAGATCTATATAAATCCAATCAACTAAAAGAAGGAAGAGCATTACCCTCTGAGGGGGGAAAAAAACAACCCACCAAAACTTTATTTTGCCATTTGCAAACTCCTGAAGCCAAGGAGATTTGGGGCAGTCTCTGTACAGGGCAGCATCATTCCTGGTACAATCCTGCTTTCACCCAGACCCAGAGACCTCAGGGAAGCGTCTGGCTCCAACACCTTCCTGGTTTTTAAACAACACTAAATACTGGAAGCTTGTTGGTGCTCAGACACTTATCACAACCTGGAGATAACGTTTCAGGTCTGATTATTTCATGCAAATCCTCTCGCTGCCTTTGCAAACCCAAAGCTGCAGCACAGTCCCTGCCCTGGGACCACCCATGTGCAAAAGCAACTGCTTGGTCCCAAGCACAGCATCATGCCAGAAAAAAGAAAGAAATAAGGAAACGTTGTTTGACTCCTCTCAGTTACAAAAGACTCCCAAAACAGTTTAAAAAGGCAAAACAAGTACCTAAAATACAGACCCTGCTAGAGTTGAAGAGGAGCAGAAGGTGTCCTGCTGTCCAACTGCCCAAAGCCTAAACACCATCAGAGCCCATCTCACCATCCTCAACAGGACATAAGTTAGTTCCAATCCAGCACATTTTTATTCAAAATACTTGATTAAAAGTAAAAATGCAGCTTACCTATAGTGCAGAAAAAACCTACAGGCGACGGCCCCAAGTAACAAGATTATTGTCAGATAAAGTTTGAACTTCTCATACTCGTCCTTGTAGGCAAACCTGGAAGGGAACAGACACTGTTTATGGACACAAATGGGCGTTTGACCACAATGGGGCTTCACTTTTTTCAAACCAGACACAAATCCACATGCCAAGCCCAGAGACAGAGATTTTGCTGCAACACTTAGAAAAGCAGCAGACGGGTGAAAGGCAGAGTTCTGCCTGCAGGGAGGGTCTGTCTTTGCTGCAAAACAATGGTTTAACTCCACCAGCTGGTTTCTGGGTTGGCATGATAAGATTTGAAATATATACATCTCCATTTTCTGCAGCACTGTATGCCTAGAAGTCACAATACCATTTTTCATTGCAAAAAGATCCCACCCTTACAATTAGACCACAGGCTGAGCTGGGCTTAAAAGCAAGTGATGGACAAATTCAATTGCAGCTACATGAAGCCTTAGCTTGTCCCCATGTCATGGTCCAACTTGCCCACCCCTGACATTGCACTCATCAGATCTGAGAGAAACCCATTCCCCTCTCTGGACTTTAGTGCAGACCCACAGCTGGCCCCAGAGGAACCCAAATCACACGTGTGGGAACACTCACTCACTTTGCTTGGTTACTCAGGAGAGTTACATTCACGTTTCCCAGCACCAGATTCAAGTACAGGCTGAAAGACAAAAACCAAGAGCAGACCCAAGTAAGCTGTTTTATTTGAACACCACAGGATGACCCAGACTGAGTTGATGAGACAACGTCTCTGCCAAAGCCACGTTTGCTGGAGGTTTTTAATTAAGGCAAACTGGAGGGATGGACCACAGAAGAGGATCTAAACGTGGAAAGATTGGTCAGCATTTTCAAGAAGTTTAAGAAGAGGTTTATTCTCCCAGTCCCTTTTCTGCACTACAGGCTAAGGACAAGATATGTAATATGCACTCTCCAAATCCAAAAATAACAGGGAGGAATTGGAAGAAAAGTTTCTGATAGAAACTTCTGAGGGGCTGCAGCATCACACAGCGCTTGACAATTGTCACAAATCTGTCCTGCCAACCCCCCTGAAGGAAAGTATAAATTCAGAGTTGGTTGAAAATGTTATTTAAAAAAAAAAAAAAAAAAAAAAAAGAGAAAATTCTTATGCTGATTCAATCCTTTAAAAACTTAGCCTGGGAAAACATCAGTGTGGAACAGTGAACTGCACAATCCCTCACCAGTGCAGGTTACTTTCATTTTAAGAGAAAACCTGCACTGCCCACACACACAGTGCATTTACATACACTCACAGCTCATGAATTCTGTGTACCACTGACACAGCAGCTCAGCAAGAGATTTATGACTAATCCAATTTTACATGTCTGTCTTCAACATGCACCTTATCCTTCAGGAACAAACCGCTGAGAATACTTGAAAAAATCAGCCTTCCTGGAGCGTGTGCCTCCCCGGGGAGCACGTACCCGTTCTTCTTTGGCAGGTAGGCTTCCATGTCAAAGAAGGCATTCTGCCTCTCCTTGATCTGGCTGCTGATCTCCTGAATGAGAGCAAACTCCTCAGGACTCGCTCTGGGCTTGCACCTGCAAGAGCACAGAAACAAGATATTCCTGTTCACATTTTCACCTCCTTTTCATTAAAAGGGAAAATAATGTTGTCATAAAATCCACGCTGTTAAAAAGCTGACTGTGTGAGGTGATGCCATCGTGCACTTTGCTCCTGTATTTCTGCAGCACCATTTGGTTCACCACGACTTTATTTCACTGCCAGGTTTATGCTACTGTAAGTTACTTCAACCAGCTGGTTTATAAATCAGCTTCCCTTTTCATCAGCTCAGTGACAGGACTGTGTGCTCTTCCCTAACAGAGCACTTTGGGAATTTTGTGCTTTTTTGCAGGAACTCCTTCCACCTTGGGAACTCTGTGTGTGGTTTCACACACTGCCCTTGCCGAGCCTGCAGCTCTTCAGGTATGAAATACTGCAAGATGTAACAGGACACAGAGCTGATGATTTACTGGCAAACTGTGGTTTTAGCAATTAATGTAAAACAGAGAGCAATGTGCAGCAGAGCCAGCAGCCCGGGGTGTTGGAGGCGCTGTACTGAGACCTTCATGCCAGGAATTCAGCTTGTGGCTCCTGGGGATCAGCCAAGCAGCCAGAGACAGCTCCCTCCTGCAGATCCACCCAGGGGTAAGTTACACCTCCAGGTTCGAGGATTGATGTTGCTCCTCCAGTTGCAGCCTATGGAGCAAAGCTTTGCTCACCTGGCAAAACCCACAGACCAAGAGCTGCAGGGACACACTGCAAGGATGAAACCCACACTGGCTCCCTCAAAATCCTATGTTTGCAGGACTCCATCTCTCATACAGTTATTAACATTTTACCTGGCTATAATATGGAGCAACTCTAGCACTGCAACACAGACTGTACGTAAAAAAGCTAAAAATCCAACCATTTGAGCCCTTTGGGAAGGAGAAACATCCCATCCCTGCCTCCTCCACCCTCCAGGTCTCCCGTTACCGTTGCAGGCTGTGCTTCAGATCCCTTAGTGTCTTCTTCTGCCTCTGTATGGAGCTGCTGCAGGCTGTCTGCAAGCTGGTGACTTCTTCCAGTTTCTGCCTGTAAACTTTGTGTGTTTCCTGCAGGAGAAGAGGAGACAGTTGGTAGGAAGAGCCCTTCTAGGTTACTCATGGCATTTGGTCCTCCCCTCCAAGGGAAACAAGCAAACCTCTGTTTTTTGGGAGTCAACAGGCACCCCTGCAAACAAGCAAGGAGGGGGCGGTGCCAAACCAGCACAGATCCAACAGGGCTTAAATGGACACTGATGAAAGTCTTGCAAGAGGAAAAGCATCCTCTCCACACTCATCTAATTTCCTCTTTCTAATGAGCTTTCCCACTCAGGAGCTCCTCACTCCAGTCCCACCCTGCAATGAAGCCCCTAATCCTTGAATCTCCTAATCCTCCAATCTCCTAATCCTCCATTTGATCCTGATCCATCCCCATCAAATGGGTGGCTAAATCACAGAGCAGGCACTCCAATTTCACAGCCAGATTAAATCTGGAGGGAAAAAGATGATGTGGACCTAAAGGGGAGGGGAAAAAAGACACAAATCCAGGCCAGGGGGTTTAGGCACCTCCTGGCCACCACTGCCATCCCAACCCTATGGATGTTCAAGCAACCTACTGCCCCATACTCTGGTTTAAGAGGTCTCAGGAAGGGCTCACCAGGCACCAAGCAATGACCTCTGGGCCAACTGTAAGATCTATAATGACTTAGAAATCAGAATTGCAGAGTTAGTGCCAGGAGACAGCGTGGGTAACGTGGCTGTTGGCACGGCTGCTTCATCTGCCAACACTTCAATGACTATAGAAAATTCCCACTGCTTTTTCCAGAGCATAAACATGGTGGTAAAACCACACAAACCAAATCTTTGCTCTCCTTTGTCAGGACCCAGTTGGTAAATGTTCATTATTTACAAGAACAAACCAAAACAAGCTCCAGTATCCGATTTAAAGACCCTAACCAAACTAACCATGTCCAGGCACTGCAGCTCTCATCCATTTCTGGATCACTTTGGCTTTGGTTGGCATGGGCAGGACTTCAGGGCTCCCTGGATTGCAGAGTAACTCATTTTGCTTCTCTAGATGTCACGCAACAACATCTTATAAAAGGCTGATTCAAAGGGCGTAAAAAGCTCTTTGCCAAAAAAGGGTTCAGGTATTTATTGAAAACACAAATAGGCGAGTTGAGAGCTGGTAAATTTTACTCCCAGCCAAAAACATCAGGATAATGGTTTGAAAATGACACTGTTTTTTAGAAGAACATAACATTTGCTACAAGTGGGGTTATTTATTTGCCAAGAGAGATGAGTGTTTACAAGGAGACTCACTGACAGCAGGGTCCTAATCCAAATCTCGTGACATATTCATTCTCAGGGTTTAAATTAATAAACTGTTGCAGAGCAACTTGAATTTTTTCCCACATCCCTGCCCCAAAACTGAAACACCCCACAACCCTGAGCTCTGTTTCAGAGATGAGGCGCTGCCCCGGCAACCTAAAAAACGAAAATCTACAGATATGGCTGGTTAGAAGAGCTTTGCAAACCTGAATGTCCCCAAGCCCATCCCACTGCCCCAGGGGGATGCTCAGTGCTGCTGTACGGCAGCATCAGCCCCTTCAAAGCCCCCAGTGCCCTGTGCCAGCCAGCACAGCAGGGCAGGAGCTACAACCAGAGTCCAAGGTCCTCCTTGGCAGGAGGAAGATGCAGCCCCTGACCCAAAACTTACAACACAACTATAAAATACGAGATGAGGCAGGAGTGCAAAAGAAACACAGATCATTTTGCCCCATGGGGACCAGCACTGCTCCCAACACACCAAAAAAATCTGACCACCAGAATTTATTTTCCCTGCTGGCATTGCAAGGGAGACCGTTTTAATGGGGGTGAGCAGAGTACCTTGGGAAATACCCACAGAGAGCTCCTTCAAGCCATGAAGAGCAGCTCCTGCGCGGTCCCGGACCAGCATTTCCAGCTGGAGATGAGAGTCAGGGCAGCCAAAAAAGGTGCTGACAGGAGGAGATGCAGGCATGGAGGGGGGGTCAAGCTGCTGCTGGGGAAAACAGGCTCCTCAAGAGCAAGAGATGCTGCAAGTGCATCCAGAAAGCCACGAGCAAGGGCAAGTATGAGCGGACACCCAGATGGAAGTACTTTCTTACTCTAGAGTTGGGGTTTGACTTGAAGCCAGGTCAGGAGTATAGGACCTTCCTCCAAAGCACATTTAAGCACCACTAGCATCTCGTGGAGCTGGAGCAGAGCCATGACCTCTCTGTTCCCCTCTTCTGCAACACATAAGAACTCCCTGATCGTGGATGTTATTCCAACTTTTCACCTCTACAGCGCTAATCACTGGTCAACTACACCTCGTGCCACCAGCAGCTTCCACTCCACTGAGAGGCATTTCTACTTTCCTTTCACGGGTGGGGAAACTGAGGCAGGAACAAGTTATTGACATTTTGCTGTGGTTTAGGTCAGACTCAGGTGCTTGTTGAACACAGTTAGCACACACAGCAAACAAGTGACCAACAAAACCACGCCAGCTGGTCTACCCCAGCACCCAGCCTTTCCTTCTGCTAACAGACATGCAACCTGAACTGACTTTTAATTAAGACAACGAGCTAAATCTGGAAATCACACTTTTTTTCTTGTGTGCACGTTCTGTTTAACAGCCTAAAAGAGGCTAAAACAGCCTCCGGAGTGAGAACAGCCGGTCGTACTTTAAAACAGGCTTTAAGATTTAAAGCACGTGTATAGGTGCAGCACTGATGACATGCAGGGAGAGAAAGGCTTCTGGAGGTAAAAGCATCCTGCAGAACACCTCTTGGCCCCTGCTCTGAGGCCTTTCTGTCCCTCAGTGCACTTTTGCGAGATGGAAACACAGCACTTGAACCCCTTGTCCCCCATCACGGGAAATCAAACTGTGCAGAGATGCTGGCAGGGCAAGTGTTGCCTCCGCTATTCTTTGTGCCGTGCCATGGGAGCACGGCCACGCCAGGTCCTCCCTTTTCCATCCTTGCTCCGGCAGTGGGAAGCGCGGCACCACGTCCCCTCGGTGCATCCCCAGAGGTAGCTGGGGCATGGCTATGGTTCGGTCCGGATGTCCCAGATGTGTTCGTAGTACCTGCCTGGGGTACCGGGTGTTTCTGCCCCGCACGGATGCGCATCCCCGCAGCGCTGGGCATCGCGCGGGCACCCCGCGGCCAAGCCCCGAGCACGCGTGGCCGCCCCGGGCGGGGCGGGGGCGACCCTACGGGGCTGCCCCGGGGCCGGGGGTGCGGGGAGGACCCCCGGCCCCGCTCCGGCCGGGCCCCCTGCCAGCCTGGGCGCGGGGGGAGAGCCGGGGCCGGCCCCGCGACAGGACGCGGAGCAGAGCCGGGGAAGGGCAGTGCGGGAGAAGCCGCAGACGCGCGGCCGGGCGAGGCATCGCGATGTCCCGCATCTCCCCGCCCGGCAGCCCTGCCCCGCATCTCCCCGCCCGGGAGCCCTGCCCCGCCGCGCCCCGCTCACCTGGAGCTGCCGGAACTCCTCCTCCAGCTCCCGCCACTCTTCCCGGCCCCGCTCCAGCTGGTCCCTCATGGCGCGGGGCCGCGCCAGCTCCCCCGGCCCCCGCCGGCGCGCGCCCCCCGGCCCGCGGGCCGCGTGCGCCGCTG